GGCTCTGAGCTGTCAGCACAGAGCCTTACATGGGGCTCCAACTCATGGACCATGAGATCATAATCTGAGCTGAAGTCGGATGCTTAACCAACTGACCCACCCAGGTGCCCCTATTTGGCCTATTTCTTTAAGTTTTTATTTAAATTCCAGTTAGTTAACATACAGTGTTATATAGTTTCAGATGTACATTACAGTGATTCAACACTTCCATGTAGCACCCAGGGCTCATCAGAAATGGACTCCTTAATCCCCATCATCTATTTCATTCCCCTCCCCCTCCATACATACACTTCCATTCTGGTAGCCATCTGCTTTAATTGGCCCATTAATGATGAAAATTTAAACTGTTTCCAAATATATGTGATTAAAAACATGCAAATATATACTTCTTTGTGTACCTGTGTATTAAATTCCTGGAAGCATAGCTGCTGGCTCAAAGTTTTGTGCATTTTTATTTTGATATATCTTGTCAACCGGTACTCCAAAGAATTTGAACCCATTCACATGTGAGAAAAAATGTGTTGGATTCCTAATATGTTTTCACAACATTTTTGTCACTGCCAATCTGAATGGTAAAAACATCTTATTTTCTAAATCACATGAGGAAGTTGAACAGTTTTATGTTTATAAGTAATTTGCAAATGGTCATTTGTCCATTTTTCTGTTTGCTATTTTTTTAAGATTTTCTTTTTGTTACTTACATGAATAGTATTAGAACTTTAAGAATCTTCTTCCCAAATTTGTCATTTGTTTTTTTTTCTGTGTTTTTGCCGTACTTTCTTTTTAAGCATCTCTCTCGTCCTGAAGTCAGGGAAAGGTTAATTTTAATTTTACTACAAAGCTGCTGAAATAGATAAAGAACAGCAACATTTCTGCATTTTTCTGTTTATAAGAAAGTTAACAGGCTGTGAAATCCCTAAGGCAAAAGTTTTCAGTTGTATGCCTCTAAGAAACACCATAGCACTCAATAAATATTAAGGAAGGAGATAAAGGAAGGCACTTTCAAAGGAAGAAGGTGAAAGAGGGCATTCAAAAATAAATGAAGAGAACGAGATAGAAAACTCTGTGAAAGAAAATATGTTTTTTCTACACTGTATGACAACTAATATATCCAGAAAGGAATGATTCTATATAAGTTACTAATTATACTTTCAGGAGCTTTATTATTTTATAATTTTTCCCTATTATAGTATCACTTTTTCTTTAGACACACGTATGTTAGAGAACTAAGAGGGGATACCTGGGTGACTCAGTCAGCTAAGCGGCCGCCTCCTGATTTCAGCTCAGGTCTTGAAATCATGGTCCTGAGATCTAGCCTGGGTGTAGAGCCTGCTTAAAATTCTCTCTCCCTCTGCTCCTCCCCGTACCTTCTTCTTCTCCCTCCACCCTGCCCCACACAGCAGGGGCGTAGGCACCCGCAGGCTCATGCGTGCACATGTATACTCTCTCTCAAAAAGAAAAAAAAAGGAAAAAAGAAAACATGAATACCCCTAATATATAAATTATCACTTTAAAAAATGTTACTGTATATGTATTTATATATAAATTTAATATATATAAATGTATTTTTATATATATATACGTATACATATACGTATATATATACGTATACGTATACGTATATATATACGTATATATATATATACTGTGTTTCAAAAAAAAAGAAAATATGATATTGGGGCGCCTGGGTGGCTTAGTCGGTTAAGCGTCCGACTTTTGCTTAGGTCATGATCTCGCGGTTCGTGGGTTCAAGCCCCACGTCGGGCTCTGTGCTGACTGCCAGCTCAGAGCCTGGAGCCTGTTTCAGAGTCTGTGACTCCCTCTCTCTCTGACCCTCCCCTGCTCACGCTGTCTCTCTCTCTCTCTCCTAGAAATAAATAAAAAAAAATTAAAAAAAAGAAAATATGAATACACATAATATAAATTATTACTTAGAAAAATGTTGTTACTGTATTTGTATTTTATATATATATATATAAAATACTGTGTTTCAAATTGTATTTTCTGTTCGAAAATACAATATACTTGGACATATTTCCACTTTACACATTATCCCACCTTTGGATGTATCATAAATTATGTAACCAAATCCCAATCAATAGTTATAAAATTGTTTCCAAGTTTCCTGTATCACAAACACTACTACTATGAACATCTTTGACACACATATTTATTTGCACATATGTGAACAAATATTTGAAAATTTTAATAGGGGCACCTGGGTGGCTCAGTCAGTTAAGCACCAACTTCGGTTCAGGTCATGATCTCACAGTCCATGAGTTTGAGCCCTGCTCCACATCAGGCTCTGTGCTGACAGCTTGGAGCCTGGAGCCTGCTTCAGATTTCTGTGTCTCTCTCTGCTCCTCGCCCACTTACACTCTATCTCACTCTGCCTCTCTACATATATATCAAAAATAAATAAGCATTAAATTTTTTTTAATTAAAAGAAAAATTTAAGCTGACACCATAAAAACAGTTTTATCAATGTATTTCCACTAACAGTTTGTTAGACTGTATTTCTCTCATCACATTATCAACAATACTGAGTGTTACCAGACTTTCAAAATCAGTAAAATGCACAACAACTATCTTACTTTAATTGCATTTTTCTGATAATTAGCCTGGCTAAGTCTTCACACTGCTTTTTATTTGCATTTCTCTTGCTTTGAAGTACTCTGTATGGTCAAATTGGGTTGTTGATTTTAAAACTCATTAATGAGAATTCTAGACATATTAGCATAATTAGTTCTTTTTCTGTTAACAATTCCCCAATTTGTCTGTTTTCTGCATGCAAATGTTAATAAGAATAATGTTCCTAAATAGGCTGTGGGATTTTGTGTCAAGTTCAAAAACCGCTTTCCCCACATACCATGCTCACAAATATTCATTCAAGTTTTCTTTTACTTTCAGGTTCCATACATTTAGATTCAAATTAGTAGGTCATCTAGATCATATTTGTGTGCTAAGAGTAAGAGAAAGTTCCAGTTTTATTATTAATTTTTTCCAAATAAATACTTGATTATTTAAGCATGATCAATTCATTACATTTCATTTCTTCCCCCACCACCAGTTTTAAAATGTGTATTTATAAAATGGCAGCATTCTTTTATTCTTAAATCTGTCTCTTTAGTTTCATTGATTTTTCTGGTCTATTCCCTACTCCATTAACTCTTAATCACTATAGCTTGATAATACCTTTTATTATGTAGTAAAGTATACATACTGTTTTTCCACATGAACTAAACAGTTGATTTAGAAACAAAAAAAAAAAAACACCTGGGAATCTATTTATATATTCTTAGAGAAATTACATCTTTATTTTTTTTAATGTTTATTTATTTGGGGGGGGGGGCGGAGACAGAGGAAGAAGACACAGAATCCCAAGCAGGCTCAAGGCTCTGAGCTGTCAGCACAGAGCCCAATACAGGGACCCAAACTCATGAACTACGAGATCATGACCTGACCCAAAGTTCGAGGCTTAACCAACTGAGCCACCCAGGCACCCCGAGAAATTATACCTTTAGAAAAATGTTACGTATCGGGGCGCCTGGGTGGCTTAGTCGGTTGAGCGTCCGACTTTCGCTTAGGTCATGATCTCGCGGTTCGTGGGTTCGGGCCCCGCGTCGGGCTCTGTGCTGACTGCCAGCTCGGAGCCTGAAGCCTGTTTCGGTCTGTGGCTCCCTCTCTCTCTGGCCCTCCCCTGTTCACGCTGTCTCTCTCTCTCCTTGAAATAAATAAAAAACATTAAAAAAAAAAAAAAAGAAAAATGTTACGTATTTTATTGCATTTTTACCTATACATTCTTTTCCATTCTAAGCATAATGATCACATTTTTTCAATGCATTTCTATTTTTATTTCTTTCACTTCAAATTCTTATTTAAGTTCTAGTTAGTTAACATACAGTGTAATATTAGTTTCAAGTGTATAATTTAGTGATTCAATACTTACATATAACATGCAGTGCTTAACACAAGTGCCCTCCTCAATACCTATCCATTCAATGTATTTTCACATCTGTAGCATTTTATCTTTAATAGGTTTTTCAATTTTGTGTTATCTCACACTAAACTGAATGGTTTATTTTCTATTTTTTATGTAGGTAACATCTACTGATACCTATAAACTATGGTTAGGTCCAGTTGGACACTAGCAAATTCTTTTTTTTCCTATATTTTAAGTTATTTCCTAGAGTCATGATACACAATCATATTATGTGTAAAAAGAGATAATTTTGCCTTTTTTCTAATCAGAAAGTTAATGTGGCCTCTTGCCTAATACCAATGGCCTATTACAATTCACAACGACATCACAGAGTGTCATGATGAGCATTCTTGGCTTTTGGAAACCTAATGGAAAGGACGCTAGTATTCCAAGATTCAACAAAAGGGTTGAGTAAAGTATTAAATCTACACTCTTTTAAGTAGGTGGGAAATCAACCTTAATGACTAATATCTTCAGCTCTACTCATTTTGGCCGCTACATTTTATTTCTTTTTTAAAAGAGCTTTTTACTTAAAAAAAAAATCTTAACATTTATTATTTATTTTTGAGATAGAGAGAGAGACAGACCATGAGCACGGAAGGATCAGAGAAAGAGGGAGACACAGAATCCCAAGCAGGCTCCAGGCTGTCAGTACAGAGCCCAACGCTGGGCTGGAACTCACTCGGGAGCTGCCTGATCCTAACCTGAACCAAAGCTGAGGGCTTAACCCACTGAGCCACCCAGGGGGCCCATGGCAGCTACATTTTAAATATGCAATATAAAATTAAAATCTCAATTAAGTTATAGATCCTAAGAGAAGGTAAAAAGACCAGAAAATAAATGAAAGAAAAATCTGTCTTAAAATACAAACGTTTTACTTTACAGAAGCAACGTAAGTATACCCCGAAATAAATCACCTCTTTCCAGTGTCCCCTCATTTTTAGAATGAGAAGGGTCCTCTTTTGTAACCCCCGCCACTGTGCCGGCCGAATGTGCAAAGTTACTACAAAACCCTTACCTGCCAATCAGCCTGGCCTCGTGAGCGCTGAGCCAAGGGAATGCCTGCGAGACACGCAAAGGGAGCCTGATCAGGTAGGACCTGGCCTGAGAGACAGAGACCCGCGGGCAACGCATCTTCTTCCCGCAGGAGACGCTAGAAAGGGGCCAGGGAGGGCCGGGCAGGCAGCCAGCTCTCCCCCGGAGCGCGTTATTGCTCCGGCACAACCTTCTCCCCACTCGAAAGCTTTCATCCCCGGACCAATGCCGCCGACGTTAAGGTCCAGAGGCACCGACCCCGACCTCAGAGTTGGAGACCGCTCCCGGCCGGTCCCGCCGCCGCTCAGGCAGGCGCGCCTCGCGCGCGAACGCCCGCGCCACCTGCGGAAGCGGCGCGCCGCGCAGCCGGCCACCGAGCGCGCGCCCAGGGCGCCCGCAGCCCCCCGCCTCTCCCCGCCACCGGGCCCCGGGCCCGCCGTGCACACCCACTCACCGCCGGCCCGCTGTCCGCTCGGCCCCCGCGACGCCGGGCCGCGGTCTAACTCTCCTAGCGGAGCCGAGGAAAGGGAAGCGACGGCGGAAGGGAGAAGGAAGAGGAGGACTTTTCGAATTAAAAACAAACTAGAGCCTGGAGGGGAGGGGGCGGCGCGGGGCTCAGGGGCGTGGCCCCGGCTCGCCCGGACCCTCCCCCGGGGCGCGCTCGCGTGGGCCCCGGACCCCACTCCCCGCGCTGGGCGCTCGGCGGCCCCGCGTGGTGGGTCCCGAGAGGCTTGGGTGTTTGTGGGCTGCCGATTGAGAAAGGAGCGGGAGGGGGACCCGGGGAGAAAAGCTGTCGCAGCTCTAGTGTGGGGTGAAGAGAAAGGTAAGGGCAAGTCGACGGTTGCACTTAATCAGGGACACAGATGCCACAACCCACGAGGAAGAGTTTTGCTGATGGGGATCACAAGCATGGAAAGGCTCTTTCGCAAGAGCCCTGTTAATTTGCATCTGCTCCCACCCCCAGGCCCTTGGCTTGGGGAATTGGCCTTGGCAATGCAGTGCTCGCTGGAAACACTCAATGCCCGCCCAGGCGTTTTGTTTTCTTTTCCACAGGTTTGGAGGAGGCCAATTTGATGTCGGAGGGAGAGTCCAGGAAAGAGGGGAGGGGACCAGCGTTACCTAGTTTTCTGACCTTTGGAGAAAAATACCATTTGTTCATTACCATTGTTAGGCACAATGCTTTTTTTGAAACGCCTAGGGTTCAGGGCTGTGGTGGTCCCTGGGGAGAACAAGTCACCGACTGGAGCTAGGGGAGTCTAAAGGCCCCTAACGTTGTAAAAAAAAAAAAAAAAAAAATCAGAACTGGACAGAAGTAAATTAGATTCAGCTCTGAGGAGTACTTGGCAGTGCTCCACTATGGGAGTTTGGAAAGGGGAAGGCATATGGGAGTGGAGTTCTGGAATTTTCCATTTTCCTTTGTATGTATGCTGTTCTGTTAGTATGCATGTAAGAATGGATTTTTAAAGTTCATATTGTATTTCTCAGCAATAATTGCACAAGACATTACATAAATACAGAAATAAAGCCACATGGAAAGCATAAAACAAACTGGTGCCAAAACTACAGCAAAATATAATACTGTTTCTTAGCTTTGTTCTAAATTCATGAGTATGATCAAGAAATTGAGCCTATGAATGCAAATATCCACAATGGCCACATGAAAGATAACAAAAAATTCAAAAGCAAAACATGTCTTGTGAAACACATGGCTTTGAGGTGGGCGAAGGGAGAAATAATTCAAAGTGTGTCTTACACCAAAATCAGAAGTTTTGAGAGGAATACAAATGATTCAAACCCATGTCTTTCTGAAATTTTTGATCTGATGACCTCTCTACTTGACTACTTCAAGAGATGACAAATCATTATTCTTTCGTACTAATCCTAGTTTAGTTGCTCTGCTCCTTTGCTACATGTCTTTGTATTATTTTCTTTATACTGGTTGTTCTTAGATTACCACCATCTACTTAGAATTAATATTGTACATCTTCATATAAATTAATAAATTTTCAACAGAACTTTTTGGTTTCTCAATACTATATGCCATTGCTCTCATGCTTAACATGCACACAAATTATAAACCTCATAATAAAACGTTATGTTTTGATAATGCAGTTGGTTGTCTTTTACAGATATCAGGAGAAGAAAAAAGATAACTTTATATTTACCCACCTGTGTATAATTTTTGCTTTTCATTTTTTCTTGTAGATAGAGACTTAACTCACTTCCCTTTGGGCTGGAGAATTTCTTTTGGTATTTCTTGTGGTATGGAATAGTGATAGACAAATTCTCTCAGTTTTTTTAATCTAAAAATATTTTTATTTTATATGTGTATATAATAAATATTACATATTATTTTATATTTATGTATTTATTTTAATGGTATCTTCACTGGATATAGAATTTTGAGTGAACAAATCTTTTTTCTCTACCTACAATTTAGAGTTTTAACATCCATTTTATCCGATGGTATTCATATTATTGGTTTTAAGATGAAATTTGTCAGGTTTGGTTTTCTGCAGTCAGTTTATGGTGTGTGGTTTCTTTGTATTTATCCTACTTAGTTTCCTCTGAGTGTCATAGGTAGGTAGGTTGATACTGGTAAACTTTCAACCAGTATTTCTTTAAAATACTTCCCAAACTCGTTCTAGTTCTTTCCTTCCCTCTGTGAATTCAATTAAATGAATATTAGTTTACATACTGTTGCCTCACTGGTCACCAAGACTTTACTTTTTTCCAGTTTTTTTTTCCTCTCTCTATTTTTAAATGTCTATTTATTTATTTTGAGAAACAGAGAGAGAGCATGGGGAGAGGGGCAGAGAGAGAGGAGAGGGAGAATCCCAAGCATGCCCTGGGCTGTCAGCACAGAGCCCGTTGTGGGGCTCGATCTCATGAATCATGAGATCATGACCTGAGAAATCAAGAATCCAACGCTTAACCAACTGAGCTACCCAGGCACACTCCCCCCATTTTTTTCTCTTTAAATTGAGTAATTTCTATGGATTGCTCTTCCTAATTTATTTGCCTTATTTCAATCTGCTATTAAGCTCATTACAGATATTACACTTTTCAGTACTAGTATTTCTATTTGGTTCTTTTTCACAGCTTCTATGTACCTGCTGAGATTCCACACCTATTCATTCATTTTGACCATCATTTTCTTTAAATTATTGAATATATTTATAATACTTGTTTACTAGTTTGTTCCAATATTTATTTCACCTTGAGATCTATTTCTGTAGGTAGCTTTTTTTTGACAGAGCCACTATTTTCTGTTTCTTAGGATGTACATTAATTTTTTACTGTTTTTAGGATATTGGGGATAATTATTGCAGAGCTTCTGATTTTTGTCTTCCGTCTCTGCAAAGGACTAAGTATTCTCAGACATGTAGCTGAAGGCAGATCATCTTTAACTTCTGGACCTTTGGTTTATACCATGTTAAGTCCAGTTTATCAAATGCCTGAAGGTTTTTTTTTGTTGTTGTTTTTTTTAAAATATTTTTATTTATTTCTCGGAGAGAGAGAGACAGCGTGAGCAGGGGAGGGTCAGAGAGAGAGGGAGACACAGACTCTGAAATTGGCTCCAGGCTCTGAGCTGGCAGTCAGCACAGAGCCCGACACGGGGCACGAACCCACAAACCGCGAGATCATGACCTAAGCAAAAGTCGGACGCTTAACTGACTAAGCCACCCAGGTGCCCCTCAAATGCCTGAAGGTTTTACCAAGCCCCGCTATCTTTGGCAGTCCTCATATTCCAAACTCTAGTTCCTTGCAGTGAACAGCAATGAACATCTCTGTCCAGCCCTTTTGTAGCAGATTATTGCACAGAGTCGTGACACTGAGGCTTTTCTTTCCAGGAAGCAACTTTATTCCAGCCTGTATCACTCAGTTGGGTTCACACCCAAAGAACTGAGCCCAGAACACTATGTGTCGTGGTTTTTATGTATTTTTTGCTTCTTTGTCCTCCATATATGGTAACACACAAACAAGCAATCTGATTAAAGTGGTCTCATGTTACAAGATCCTGAGGGATATTGTCACATTTGCAAATAGCAAGGCTGCCTTGAGATGTTCTTTTTTTTTTTTTTTCCCTTTCCACCCTCTACCACGCTTTCAGCTGCTACTTTCTGCTGTCATCACTGGAGACTCCCCAGCATGTGTATAGTTCAATGGTCAGTCAAGGATTATAGGGCTTTTTATAGGCAAATATTAATGTTCTTCCCTCTGTATCACCTTACTTTCTGATATTACCCTCAATATGCAGCCTGAAATCTCTTCACTGACATAACAAGTCAATAAAACTGAAGCATTCTTCTTGAGTTGTAGCTGCCCTGCACCTGAGGACTGGGGAATGTCCACAGGGAAATGGCTCTATAAACATGGATCTCACTCAGTTAATATAATTCCCTTCTTTTTTTTAAACTGGTCAATCCTCTACAGTTTTAGTCTGTTTTTGACAGCTCTCCAATGTCTTCAAGCAATTGTATATTTGTTTCAGGTTTATTATTATTATCCACAGGAGAGTTATTCCAGTACAAGCTAACTTATCTTTATTTTGAGAGAGAGATAGAAGTGCAAGTGAGGGAGGGTTAGAGAGAGAGAAAGAGAGGATCCTAAGCAGATTCTGTGCCAACAGCAGCAAGCCTGATGTGGGGCTTGAACTCATGAACCGTGAGATCATGACCTGAGCCAAAGTCAGGCACTCACTGACTAAGCCACCCAGGTGCCCCCACGCTAACTTATCATTACTGAAGTTCTAACTCTCACAAACTTGTAACATTTTCAAGTATTTCATTGCTAGAGAAACCAAACTGTTAGAAAGTTCTTTTTATTAAACAAAATCTATATCCACAAGACTTTCTTTGTTTCTCATGATTCTATTTTTGTTCCAAAAGATCATGTATTTCTTACTTTAATTCAATAGCCTTTCAAGTTTTTGTAAGTTGCTATCCACTTTTCCTTAAATATTTTCTTCCAAAAACTGAGCACCCTTCTTTCTTTTTGCTACTTCTATTCATGATTGCAGATTCCTTACATTGAGATTACCTTCCTCAGAGTCATTAATTGCTTTCTGATAGTTGATTTGATACTTATGTAACACAATGAAATATCAATAGTACTCTATTATTGAGGCCCAACTACATTAGCTTTATGGGCATATTAACCATTTCTAGTTTATTTGTGGTCATTAAACCCCAACATTGGTTAGTCTCAAGTCTGTCTTTTCATTGTATACTAGAGAAATCTTACTTATTAGTATTTGGTAGATGACCTTTATTTCCTGACCTCCATTCTTTAGTCCAGTAAGGTCTATATATAAGATATAAGGGAAATGGAACCCAAAGATTTTTAACAAAAGAGTAAACAAAAATAATAAGAAATGAGAGCAGGCTGAAGTTGCGGGTAGAAGGAGCTGAGCACAGTGGGAGAAAGGCTCTTCCCAGCAACTAAAGTAATACCCTGATTTTTTTTTTTTTTTTTGCCAGCAAATAATATAAGGTGAATTGCCCAGATTTCAATAATCATCCTCCTAGCTACTCTCA